ATTTTTAAGTTTTATTTAAATTTTTAATTAAATTTAAAATTTTAAATTCAAAACTTTTTAACTAAAAAATTGGATTCTTGCTGTCAGGTCAAAAAAAAGAAATTAAGAATTCATACATTATCTAGAAAATCCAGAAAACTAAGAAATAATAAGTAAAACAAATTTATATTTCCAACCACTAGGTGATCCTTAAAAATTCATTAAAAGTGCCAGTGTGAAATACATGCAGCTAGTGCGGATCCTCAATGAACAATTACTCTCCAAACATATGGTAGTTATTGGAAAATTAAAAAAAAAAAACGGTTATATCAATTTTTAGTGGGCTATTTCGAAGCGACTCTCTGAGGCAAAGAACAATCAATTGAGAAAAAAATAAACATAATATAGGCTCATCCAAGTTTACTACATATAACACTTTCACATAATACATAAAAAGCATACTCCAGATTAACCGACGCTCTCCCTATTGACCCCCAGCCTTCAACACGTACAAGTCTTAAAATGTATGCGTACCTGTCGACGTTTTTAAGCCTATTTAGGCGACTATTTAAATTAAAATTAATGGATGTAAAGGCATTAGTAAGAAACTAACACTTGCATAACTACAAGTGTCTAAATTTGTGTGTCCAACAGCACGGTTATAAGCTGTGGTCATCCATTTGGAGTTTAACACATGTTCTTTGACACTTTTCTCGCCTATTCGTGAACTTTTAACTCATTCCTACAACTCACATATGCAGATCTCGCTGCAGACTACTGTGAACCTAACACACACACACACACACACACACATATATATATATATATATAAATAGCTATTCAAATGTGTTATCTCTCTTTCCTATTTGGTTACGTGTTAAAGCCATTTAAAATAAAATTTATTACTAAAACTTTAAAATCAGTTGACACCTTTGCTAGTTCGACTATTTCGGCTTTTGAAACGCTGCTTGTTGTATCATGTACGAAGCTCGACTTGCGATAAGATAAACGAGACAGTGAAAATTAATTTTTACATGTGTTAACAAAACTCAGCTGTATTAAGCAAAGATATCGAAAGCACAACAGCAAGCATAAGCTTTAGGAAAAACCTGTATATTTATATAATTCTCTAATTTGTTCAGCGTTTTGAGTGCTTCGTGCTGAACAATAGCTAAATCGCATATAAATATTTATGGGCAAATTTTAATTGATGACTAACCTTTCGAAGATATTTCATTGATAAATAGAAAACGTAAACAGAAAACGCGTCAATGGGTGCGATGAGAAAATTTCGCTTCGTAATACAAAAGTAGAAATTAATGGCGTTTAACTGGTTCAGATGCGTGTTTTATCTCATACCATAATAGTGTTTGTTGTAATTATATATGTTACATTTGAGTTGTACTAAATTTGCAGTAGAAAATTGGAAGTAACGAACGGAGGCGATTTTTTTACAGTGAGCAGCTTTTGAGTTCTCATAAAAAAGATGGCCCTTCGGAGCCAGATCCGAAGAATACGGTCGATGCAAAACAGCGCGATACCCTTTTCATCGTTTTTGAATCGTCCGATTGGGAGCTAACGCGGCACACACTTTGCACAGAGCGTTCTCATGTCTAAATATTCTTTAACGATTTGTTATTTCTTTTTTGTAATCAAATCACCGAAAATATTTGCATTTCTTCATATAATACTTCTGTACTTTTTAAGGAGCTTCTCAACTATATTAATATGTATATACTATATTGTTTTGTTGTAACAAAATTCAGCACTTAACATATCATCAACAACAAAAAAGTTTCGTAAGGCTTCAGTTATCAAGTGCGTTGACGGCAAATAGCAAAAGTAGCAAGACAAATATGTAACAAGCACACACTGATTTGCTGAACAAATGCTTACATGCAGATGCAGAAAATACAACAAACAAAAAATATTGGTACAAATTTAGAAATCAATGCAAAATATCGAAAAGGTATACACGCAAACAAAAAAAAATTAAATGCCCAAAATGTCAACATAACACATACCTGATCGATGCAACAAATTTTTATGCAATGCACTCTCTCAAAGTCATCATGCAACACGCTTGTTCTGATTATGGTTGACTCAGTGGCAAGTTGCGTTCGCCTTGCTAGTCATTAAACCAAAATATTTGGTGTACTTGTTTCGGCGCTACTTAGATAGTTTTGCCATAATTTATGCTGTTATGCAAATATGCACACTGGAATGTACCGTTACACACACTGTTTGCCAAAAATACCAATATTCGTTTTTGGTTGCATATTTTCCCATATAGCCTTCATCATTCTTTCGAGAATTTACTATTTGCCTAACTACTCATTGGAGTTTATACTTTTGCTTTATTTGGCTTTTTGGTTTGAACAATTTTCTCAACTAACCGTTAACAATTCACTTTTGCAATGACTATCATTTTATATGCGAAATATTGGCATGCGCTTTTTAAATCTACATAAACTACAAAAACAATGGCGCTCAAAGTAACAACGGCATTTTGACAACAACGCCAACAATAACAACAATGGTTAGTACAAACATTTGCACAAATTCCCTGTTTTTATGTGCATATCTGTCTGTTGCAAAATATACTCAAGATTGAGCACTTACTTTGCAAATGAATAATGATAGTAAGTAAAAATGCTAATGATGCACTTGGAAAAATGGGTTTTTGAGAGGCGGGAAAATGTGATTTAGTGTGCAGGAAAAACTATCCATAATAAAATAAATAAATTATAAAATTTTTTGTAATAACAAAAATTTTTTTCGCAACACTGTAATTTGAAAATATTTGAATTATGTAATATGTAAATGATAAATAAATATTAAGACAGAATAAAACAAAATAAGAAATAAACAAAAAATACGAAATATAAAAAACTAATAATATTATTATATATAACAACTAAATTATAATAAAATTTGTTAAAAGGTATGGATGCTAAGTATTAGCAATATATTAATTATACTTTTAATTTTGATCATTATTTCAAGTTTTCAAAAAAAAACAAATTAACCTAGACCATAATATTTATATTCAGATCATTTAATATCCTTTAATCATTTTTCAATTAACTATTCAAACTTTTTTAATATCTTAAAATAGAGTTGCATTTAATGCATTAAAAAGTTATTGAGCATTTAAATAATTTTTAGTTTGTTATCCCTATAATCTTTATCAAAAATTATTTTACAATTTTAAATCCCAAATACTGGATTGTAAAGTTAATAATTATTTTTTAATTCCGAAATTCAGATCGTAGAATAAAAAAATTTTGTTAACTGAGGATTAAAAAATTATCCAAAAAATTGTTTCGCGCGTGCATTAGAATACGAAGTCTAACATTTTCAACAAAAGCTCGCATAGCTCCAGCATCTTCAATACTTTGCAGCAATGGTCCATATTCAAACGATTAGAGTTTTATCAGTTTTTAATTCTGAAAATTAAATTTTTTGGTTTAATAGTTAACACTTTCTGGGATTAAAAATTTAATTTTCCTTTTAAAATATATAAGTAAAATTAGAATTGAACTTTGAAATCTAATTTTTAGTTCAAAATTTTTTATTCTAATTCGCAACCCTGCCTGTATAAATAATTATTTTTTAAACAAAATTTGGATAAAAATTTAAAAAAATAAACGAATTTTTTTTCACATACCCCAAAGGCTTTCTCACCGTGTTAAATCGCCACTACGCCAAGCATAGGCACCTACACACACATATATACACATACAAATGCGCATACGCAAATGTTTGCTATTTGCAAATAGCTGAATACACTCTTTATTTACACGAGCATACTCGCTAGTTCGAGTGGAGCATTGTAACAACAAAAGATTTACGATCGCTCAAGCCAATAAAATCATTGCGAACGATTTTTAATGCAAATTGTTATGTTCTTATTTATGACTCATACGATTTCATCTATGCTTTTTTTTTGCGCACATTTTCACCGCATAGTCAAGCGTAGTGTGCGCATAGCACTGTGAGCCGGCTTTTAATGGCACAGCGCAGCGCTGGTGCTTTACGCCGAGTACGCGCATTTGTAAGTAAAAATACAAAAATAACACAAAAAATAAATAAAAGACAAATAAAAATAGTGGCATAAATCGCTTCGCATATATTCTTGTGCATATATCAAATTGCCTAGCAGCGCCACGCTCCGCCGTTATGTTGCTTGATGCTGATCGGCTGCTTTGTCAGCTGGCTCTGGCTGTATGGTCAGTTAGATGGATGGATGGCCGTACGGATGGTTGAATCGGTTGAATAGCTTAGACGAATGAGTCGAATTGACTCAGCCGAATGTTGTTGTTGTTATTTTGTGTGATTGCTCACGCTGCTGTTATACTTGTTGTTTTTGTGTTTTTTGTGATTTTGTTATTAATGTGATTTTCGGTTTTTATTATTGGTGTCGCTTGCTGATAATTTTTAGATACCGTTTTATTTTTCAATTCCATATCACCATAAAGCTAAGGTCGCATTGCCAGTAAATTTTTACGATTTTTAAATTTGATGAGGGTCGAAAAAAGCGCTGAGCCAGCGGTAATTGCGCACACTTTAACGGCGAAAATAAAGGCCGTTGTTTTGATTTGCGAGTATTTTTGGTAAAAAGAAAATATTTTAATGCGATTTTTTTTTATTAAATTTTTAGATGCTTAACTTTTAAGGCTTTTTGAATTTTTTTACTATAATTCTTCCATGTTGAAGGGCAGCCGCACGCAAGATGACGGACACTGATAACGTGTGGCGGACTAGTAAAAATTGTTTCAAAGTGATTTTAATGCGAATTCCAATTAGTTGAGTGTGTGTAACGACCCACTGTTTTTTTTGTTTTCAAAATATTTAAATTGTTTGCGTTTGGCTGACTCAGCGCTTGAAAGTATGTATTTTCCAAGAGTGATTTTGTCCACACTTCGACGATTATGAAAATAATATTTTGGATTGCAATAGAAAAAATATTATTTTAAATATTTGGTCTGATATTAATTATTTGTAACATCAAAGTTTGCTATTATAAGTATGCAAAGCACAAAAGACTTAAGCAACAAACTTCTACTTAAAACAATGTATATGTGACTAAAATAAAAACTCTGCATATGGAAAGATAAAACAATGAAAACCAACAGACAATCAGCCAACAGACAATCAGCCATATTCCATATTGATTTTTTTTTAAATAGTCATCATTATTCATGTTCTGCAAAAGTTACCACTCTTATTGATTTTCAACCACTTTTTCTCCAGCTTTCGCTTTCTTCAGGCAGCCCATAAAGCAGACGAACGAAACATACACGAATTTATCATATCTAAAAATCCAAAATAAGCTCCAAAACCGTGGCGGATTTGAATTTTTCTCTTGCGCTCCTTTGTGAAAAGAAGCTTTGAGCCAGGCTTATTAAACAAAAGCGCGCTATTAAAATGTGCTTAGCTCAATGTACACAACAATTGCGGTTATATTTCAATAATAACGAAATGACAAAAATAATGTGCAGAGCTTTCAACCGCAGTAGCCGCAACGAATTTGTTAAGAATGGGTATTATTTGAATACTGGAGATATGTATATAATACAATATGTATGCATGTGTGTATGCATGTATGAGTTACTCCATAAAATAATGATAAATATGTGCAGTATGAAGTATTATAGGTTGTCAATTCAGTTGTGGGTTATATCAGTTGATTTTGATGAATTTGTTCCAAGAGCTTTTGTGGGTTTCATTGCAGTATAGCAAATACATATGATGCTGTGGAGCGGCGTCATAAAATTATCTCAATTTTTTTTTGGTAATACAAGTATTTTACTAATTTGACAGATCTGATCATATCCATTTGGTGGTTGAATGTAGAAGTCGAAAAAGTGTCTCGCTGTTACGGAACTTAAGAGGCAAGTGAATTTAAAATAAATGGATTTTTTTATATTTCAAAAGGTTATAGCTTCGGAAATAAAATGTTAAATTTTTTCTGCATGTTCTCTATATGCTTTTTTTTATTTCTCAAAACTAACTTTTTAGACTGCCCAATTGGTGTGCCCCTTAAGCCATTACGAGGCCGGTTAGGTTCCAAATGAGTCTCAAGTAAAGGCCTACCACTGTAGATTTTCCGATCTCTTAGAAAGGAAAATTGAACGCTTTGAATTCACAGAGCTAATGCTAAGCCGTTGTCATTATATTCGAGACATCCCACCTTAAATAGTTTCTGATGGGGAGATATCACCGATAGGTGTCCTCTAATCACCATCGTTCAGGCTTCTTTTTTTTAATATTTATGGAAATAGCAGGAAGGAAAGTACTGATTTTGATGAGATATGTTTTAGCGCGCTTTTTCGCTGAGAACTTTAGCAGTTTATTATTATTTGACGTTTGGTAGTTGCATGTGGTCATAACACAGTCGTACGGTAAGTTTTCTTAATATTCTAAAGGATATATGCCAGCTCCTTCAACTTTTGTAGTTATTTCATTCAATTTTGCTTAGGCTAGTTGAGGTTAAAAATTTTATAAATTTAAATAAGAACTAGGAAAATAAATATATAGTATTAATATTACCTGGAGTTTGTTAAAATATACATAAAATGCGGTATCTGAGTTATGGCATACGAGTATATAGCAATTAAAAAGAAATTAATTATGTAAAATTCTGTACTAATTAGAATATTTACCTTTAAGTAAAATATTGCAAAAGTCTGAGCAATTAATTCTTTAACTGGATCATAAGTAAACTAGTTCAAAGCCAAATTTTGACCAGCAAACTAAATACAAGCGTTAATAAAAGTGCACAAGAACTGCCGGCATAACGTTTAAAAATTTAGAAACTAATATTCGAATTCAATTAAAAGTCAATAAACCAAATATATAGATATTTAGAAATAAAACTTGAGATGTCAAACTTGACAACTAAATCTAAGAAAAACAAAGAACTAGAACAACATTTTGTTTGCATATTAATATACCGAGATTTGTAATAATCGACGGCACATTCGTCAAATCCACGCTCAGCTGAAATGGAAAATCGCCTAAAGTCAATCGATGCGATGATAGGCAAGCGCTCGTGCATCTAACGAAGCGCTCAAATATTGACAACTCACATTTTCACAGCTTCGAATTTGTATATTTTGCATATACATACCAACGCATAACAACAACATATGAATGAATGGCAGTGCCAGCACGCCATCGCTGACTCCATCATTATAAAGATGTTTATCTCGCGCCACATTCCGCAACAGCGGTAGCGGCAGCGGCCGCTGCTGCGCGTTTTCATTACAATGAAAACGGAATTGTGCGCAATTTATCAGCGATAAGCGCGACACACATGCACTTGCTTGTTGTTTTTTTTAGTGCTACAATGTGTGCCACCGATTTGGTATGGTGTTCAAAAATATTGGCGCGCGCAATACAAATACATATCGGCGCGCTTGCCTCGCAAATGCACTTGAGCGGCCTTAGTGAACTGTTGAAGGTGAGAAAAGGCGTGAAAATGATTAAAACGAGATATGCATGTGTGTGAGTGTGTGTGTGAGCTGCGCGCTAACGCTGCGTAACCGCTTCTACAGCTGCGGCCTGCGCGCTTTCATCAGCGCTGGCTGATTGTAAAGCGTTTTTCTAGGAAAATTGTTGGATTTTTTATGTGCACTTCGATGCGAATGCTGCGTTGTTGACTGTGACACATTTTACACTTGACGCGCGATTACTTTTCGGTGGTCGCACACGTTTGCGCAACCGCTACACGCTCGGATGGTCACTCGGTCGTCCAATAGGCTGGCTGGCTAGCTGGCTGATTGGTCTGTTGGCCGCATATTTGCATGATTCATGCTCATTGCAGCTCCCGCCATAATAACGAATATGTCTTTCAGCTGCTGAGCGTTGCGTTTGCCAATGGCAAGCGTTTTAATTGCCAGTCGCGCATGCAAAGTGCAACCAACGACGAAATCGCGGTCAATGTGCAAATCGCCATCAGCATCGACATTGCATTGCCAACGCTCCACAATTCCAACAAAAACGAAGAAATACTCCACCAAGTGGTGCGGCCGTTTCGCCAACGCAATTGCCGGCCAGAATATTTGCATTATTATTTGCTTTGCACACACGCGCAATACAAAGTGTGAAACAAGTGTGAGCTAAAAATAAAAGCAAATATGTACATAGAGTTGTACTTGTATACATATGTGTATGCACATACATACATATGTGTATGCACATATGTATGTATGTGCAAAGTTTATTGAGGTAAACAACGAAAGTAAAACATTTATTGCGGACGCACTTTGCGGTCGTTGCATATTGGTGATGCGAACAATTTTCAATTTGCAACATTTATGTTCTTATGTACATATATACACACATGGTACACATCCTTATGCTATTATAACCATAAATGTGTTTGAAGTTGTATGAGTGTGTTTATAATTTTTGTCTAGAAGAAAGAATATTATTTCATTAGTATTACGACTCATTTGAGTCGTACTTTTTTTCAAAAAATATTACTTGTGAAAAATATATTTTTTTTATTATCAGAAATTAGATATATTTTCACAGAAGATACTTATACCAAAAAATAAATAAAAAGTTATAAAAATTGATTACGTCAACTATGAGCTGACTTGAATATTTTTAATTCAATAAAATACCAGTTATTGCACTTTAATAATTATTGAGCTGAAAAGTTACTCAATTTGAGCTAAATACTTACATATGCCAAAAAGTTGTCTGCTCAAATTAAAAATATACTCCTTTTGAGTTGATAAAAACGTGCTTTACATTTCTAATACGCTCCGAAAGCATTTGGCCATGATTTCCTCAGCGAATTTCCTTATGAATTTTTCGGAATAAACATTTGAATTACTCGCATATGTGGAGGGGAGTTAAACATAGTAACATAAAAAGGACTTATTTATGGTTTCGACCTATAGCATTTTTTCGATCACTATCTTCTTGTGCGAATCAGGCTGCTATAATCCTTATACAATAAATAGTTCAAACGACCATCTAATATGCCATCGTTGTGGTCAGAAGAGGATATTTGACTCGTATTGTGCAAGTTTTCTGTGGTCTTTTTCGATAAGGTTGCTTGCCAAAATTATTTTGTGGACATTTTCAAAGACCTTTTAGTGTTGGTGCAGCGAAAAACTCTAAATCCAAAATAACTTATTTTTTATCGTATGTATCAGATTAAAATATTGACTGCCAAACTCTCACTTGATGTTTTTTTATATCGTTTTATGCCAGTACATGTGATTTACACCAGCTATCTGTTCGACACGCTACGGTGCAAGTTTTGGTGAAACAAAGAGTACTAATCATATAAGTAACTTACATCAAGATAACTTAATATATAATGTCGTAGAGTCAAAAAGCTTTTGTTGAGTAAATTTTTATTCTCATGTTTGCCTGTTTTATGAATAATTAACAATTTACAACATAAAATACTAAACATTGCTTTCCGACAAAACAGCGAAATGAAATTTCTATATTGTATATGTATAAATAAATAAATATATGCATATGTACTTAGTCTTAACATCTTATTCCCGTACAATCATACCGGCAAATAGGGTGTTTAACTATTGATTTTTTGCTAAAATATAATATATATAAATGTGGCACACTTTAATAGATAATATATAGTATGCATATATGTATATACACTTGTGGTTTTTGTATTTGGAGCAAGGTTAGATAGTGACCTGTTTACAGTCGAATGAATCATTACTTGTGTTGAATTGAGACATATGAGTAATTTTATATTTCATTTTTCGGAAATGTCGCAGTACTTGTAATTAAGTGCTTGTATTTTTGTATGTGTTTTACATTTAGAAATAAATAAGATGGCAGAAGGTTGTTTATTATTCATATGAAACTATTTTTATGCATAACGGCCATTCTCTAAAATAAAGAGAGCCTCTTTCAAGTAATGCACAATAAAAAGTAACTCATAAATTATGTATATAAATCGAAACCATAGCATAACATGACGCCATTCCTCTTTCATTAGTTTTAGCAGTCTATATTTATCTTTCCTTTTGTTACGGTAGTGTTAGAGATACTCATAGCCATTTCACAAACCATCAGATTCGGCCGCAGGTCTGGCCAATGTGAAAAAAATGCTAGTGGGCCGTCGGCAGAAAATAGAAAATCATTCGACATCTGGATTATGACAACTTACTCGTTCCGAAGTGACTTAAAACTCATAGGAGTCGCCATTTATCAGATAACATCAACATCCATGTATGTACTTATTGTTTTTCCACGTTACGCTAATAACGAAGGATTAAAGAACTTTGGCTCAAAAAATACGAAAGGAACCGAAAATTTATATTTATGAAACGATTACCTGCAAATTCAAAGTATATTATATTATAATCGAATACATACAACTTTGTTCATCAAACATGTACAATATTTCTCAAGTTGCTACAGATGCCACATACATATATGACTCAGGTCTCCTCTTTTACAAATTTTGTAGAACTATTGCTTGATCTCACGATAGTTAGAGAGTAACTGTGTAACGTAAATTTCATTCCTTCAAAACTTGGGTTGATCATTTGATTGATGCATAGATGTGCATCTGTTGCGCTAAAGTTATTCCACAGAGGCCACAGATCGGCTACCTCAATTAACAGCTTACAACGCTTTCCAACGTTTAATTTAAATTCAATGGGTTACGTTGCAGTATATACGGATTGTTTTGTTGCTGTTCTGAGTTAGTTTTTTAATACTAAAATACTAAAAATAAATGCTTGTTAATAATAAAAGTATGAAATTGAAATGTCAAAAAAAAATATGCTACAAAAGGAGCTTGAAAATGCTAGTTCCAAACTACAACAAAAAATTCGAAATATTGTTAAAAAAAAAACGATTTAACAACAGCAAAGCGTTTTTAAGTGCCTTGTTAAAAATATATTCTTTCCATTATTTCGTTCTTCTTTCCACATTTAATGCATTTTTATTAATGACAATAAATATCACCGCTTTGCATATCAATCACACAGAATCGAATAATCAGTAACAACTGAAAAAATACACAACAAAACAAAAGCAAAACGACAATTGAACAGCAACGACAAAAAAGATAAACGTAAATTTGAAAGAAAAAGCAAAAGACAAACTAAAAACTCAAGCTAGCTAACTAAATTTCCACAGGGAGAGAGCTAAACCGAAGATAAACAAACCGAAAAGCACCAAGAGCCGATTGTGAAAACAACAACATAAAATCGACATTTAATTTTATGTTTAAACGCTGAGGCCATCGGCGCATGTTAACGCCTCGCAATATGACAACTTAACTTAAACTTACAACAAACGGGCCATAAAGAATGCCATAACGACAAACCACAACAACAAAAATAAAAAGATCACATATGACTGCTAGTAAGAAAGCAGATATTCAATTTGTGTTCAAACGCAAATTTTTGACAAAAAACTATAAAAACAACACTAATACAACAAACACATAGATCGGCGAATATTTTCAGTTATGAGTGTAAACAGTACGTACGTATGTGCACTGTGTTGTGGTGCTGAAAGCAGAAAATGGGCAATAAAAGTGTGAAGCGCGTACGCGCGCGCAGCAAGTGTTAAAAGCCAAAGAGGCGTACGAAAGAGTCAAGCCATTGCCACGCACTTTTCCGTGTGTCGTCTTTGCTGCTATTTTTACGGACTTTAGTAATAATTTGGCGTTTATGTTTGCTACAAAATTTTTTTAGGAAAACATTACCTTTTTGTCCTAAATATTTGCAGCCTGCGCTCGGCGGCTTTCTTTTTAGCATAACAAATCCTAAGCAAGTAGGAATGCGATTATCGGTTTGACGCTGATATTATGATTATGATTTTTCTAACTTTTCCATTCTTCTGTGAAAGCTTTAGGCTCTTTAGCAGCTTGTAATTGGCGCTTTAGACACAAGTTGATAAACTAAACAGCTTCAATGGTTATAAATTTCGTTGTTGATTTGCAGAAGTTGAGTTGAGCTA